AAACAGAAAGCCAGCGAGGGCTTAGATGACGAGTTTATCTGACCTCGTCTGACCTATCAGTTCGTGTCCAGCGGCTGACGTGATAAGGCCAGCCCAGCCCTCCGCCCCCCACAGGGCTGGTTGGCGGACCCGCGATACCAGACTCAGCCCGCACCCTAGGACATGGGCTCGTGAGTTCCCCTTACTGTGTAGAACTCCTCTTAAATAAAGAGTCAAGCCGTAAAAAAGTATAACAAGATATTAGCTGGTTGTTTAGCGGTTCGTATTACTGTCGTTTACGCCCCCCCCCCCACACACACACACACCAGTCATATCTTTCTCTCCTACTATCCTGGCCCTTGTGTGCATGGTCTGTTTGTCGTTAGCCTGATCGTTGATACCAACATTTCAGGCACGTGGCCGATGGCGAGGAACTTCGCAGAGAGCTGGAGAGTCAGGAAGGACCATGTCGAATAACGTCTATAGGATATGGCGCTATGGCGAGGACTTCACGCATGAGGCACCGTGGAGGGATAGGAGGTAGGACGCCGCACAGGATGGGTGGGAGATGAGGACGCGCGCCGTGGAAGTGGACGTCTACCGCATCGTGTAAGTTCCACCTCAAGGCTGTAAGTAAGACAGCCTTGAGGTGGAAAAGCCTGCCATCGCTTCGAGGACGAGGCGAGGGTGCCCGCCTGGGCAGCTTGGTGACCTGACCTCAATTCGGCGACAACAGAAAACGCTCCGGAAGGGGTAAGCTAACGGAAAAAACAGCTGGGTCCCCACGCCCTGGGCAAAAGCTGGGGGAGGAGCGACCCGAAGGAGGCAGTGCAAGTCTGACCCTTGAAGCGGTTCAAGGGTCGGACTTGTACACCTTCCCCCTTTCGCCCGTAGGAGCTGACGTTGCCTCCGTCACATCTACCGCGACAACAATATCTTCTCATAACTACGTGTCTATTTTTTCAATAAAGCAGCTAAACAGATACTGAGTTTCCCTCTGGACCTGCCAGATAATATAGTGATTTTCTTGTGAATTCAAATTAGCGACCATTATATACATATATAAATGCCCTCCTTATATTTGCAATTAGCCTCGCATTTTATACACCCTTTAATTTATATGATCATCTAGGCTTAAATTCCTGGTTATGATTTCATATTTCCCATTAAGAATTTCTCTCATTTTCTCGCAGGTTACCTTTGTCCATCTCTTCTTTAGTTTTAAATTCGTACATATTAGGTCAGGCATACATGGTCTGTGTAGCTCTCTTACTCAGGTATGTTCTGTCACAGTTTGAGAAACATTTATGATTATGCGTGATTTTGCATTCATCGAATCTGGCAGTCACTTTTGCTATTAAAATCCCATATATGATTTTCTTATGGACTTCTTCCAGGCTCTTTAGGGTTTTTTGAATTAGGTTTTGGTATTTTTGGTGACCTCACTGATGTATAAATTGGTTATTATCGTGTTTGTTTCATTTGTTCAATCTCTAACTCCTTTGTAGCGATTCCTTTCCCCCTCTTTTTCTATTTACACTATATTTTCTTCAAATAATTTAGTCTCTGAATCCTTATGTTTCATTTTATATGGAGGGATCCAGTTTGCGTGTTTTATTGATTTCAGTTGTTGCATCTAATTCTATCAACCTTGTAAACGTGTAAACGTGTAAACTATTACTGGATAATCTTTCGGTATTTTTTAAAATGTAAAACTAATGTTTATCTGTATCTACATCTTTATCCTTTCTTCATTTTTGTTCTTTACATTTATATTTTCTGTTGTTTCTTTTTATTCAAATTGTCTTATATTCTTCGTGTTGACTAGGCCTTTAGTTTTCTCTATGATGCTAGTTATCATGTGCGTATGTGTGTGTGTGTGTGTGTGTGTGTGTGTGTGTGTGTGTGTGTGTGTGTGTGTGTGTGTGTGTGTGTATGTGTGTGTGTGTGTGTGTGTGTGTGTGTGTGTGTGTGCATGTGTACAACGAAAAGACAGATAGAGAGTGCAACAACCTCAGTCTAAGTGCAACAGAGGGGAAATGACCCCTCAGGCAAATGTTATCTCACTATGTTTGGGGCATGACTAAGCCAACGAAGCTTTTGTCAATATTTTTCTCAGTTCTTCACGCTTGCTTCATTTTTCATTTTGTTTATCCTTATGTTACAGAAGGATGAACGGAAAAATGATTACTAGATATACAGTTCGGCAAATTAATGATACTACATCGAATTGAACTTCACTAAATAATTCATATTCAATATATATATATATATATATATATATATATATATATATATATATATATATATATACATATATATATATATATATATATACATATATATATATATATATATATATATATATATATATATATATATATATATATATATATATATATACATATATATATATATATATATATATATATATATATATATATATATATATATATATATATATATATATATATGAGTTTATTCACACATGTAGATACCCTTTATCAATGACTTCAACAAC